GTTCAGTTAAATCACAATATAAATATTTTAGTCCACAAAAGTATGTGTATGGATGTGAAAAGATTTTATATTTCTGAAGTATAAATTGTATACCCCTTTTTTTAATGCAGGAACTATTTTCTGAGTTTGGTGCCCTGAAAAAGGCTGCTGTTCACTATGACAAATCTGGTCGCTCACTAGGTACTGCAGATGTGGTTTTTGAACGACGTTCTGATGCAGTCAAGGCTATGAAGCAGTATAATAATGTACCATTAGATGGTAACTATGACTTTATAGTTTAAAATATTTGTGTGTATAAATTTTTAATTTGTTCTCAAAAATAATTCTGTTGTAACATGTTCTGTCTTTGGGTGAGCTCTTTTGGGTTATTTGGTAAACATAATGCTAAGTCCAGTGCATGTGGGACTAATTAGTATATTTCTTCAGTAATGTTTGCTTTGGGCAACATAAACTGACAGAAGTTGTAAGCCTACACTCACAAACAACATTTCAATAGAAACTGTAATATTAATGTATAACTAACTCAAAAATACAAAACTTACTGACTCAATCACTGAGGAAAAGATGTACTAACTTCTGCTATCTTACTCTTAACTGGATCACTCACTGAATACTAAAGGTGATATTTTCATTGTTACTTATTTTCTACTTACTACACAAAATTTCTAGATCATAATGTCATGCAACCTCTTGCAAGTTATTTAAATTGAAATGTTAAAAATATAGCTTATAACAGTCCTAAAATTTCCAAAACTAATTTATTCTTATGTCTTCTAGAACTTTAAAAACAAACTTATTATTATGTATGTTCAAATTGATTTTATATATTGATTAGAAAGTTCAGATGATTTAGTGTAAATAACTTGTCAGGGATTCATTAATATCAATTTACACTTACATTTCAATGTTCTGTAGATGTTAAAGGTATGTCTGTGTACTATTAGCCTAACTATTCATAAAAGAACAAATTTTTGGCTTTTCATGGTAATCAGTTTGTATATGGTATGTAATAATAATCAAAACTACCAAACTTTATTTGTGTTCACAGTAAATCTGGTTATAAAATCACAGAAAAGTTTTTTAAGAACTATTAAAAAATAAAGTACGTGTTTGCACAAGTTATGTGTTGATGATATTTTGAATACTAAATAATTTTATAATTCGTGGAATTGAATTGCTAGTTATCAGAAACTAACAAGGCCTCACAGTGAAAGTTTTATAGTTTATGTTCAGTGTTTTGATGAAACTTTTTTTTCTCAATCCTGATTGAGAAAAGTCCTAATTTAGTTTTAATAAACAAATGTTTCAATTTTGATAAACTTTTTAATACGGCATTAACACTATCATGATTATTTTGATCTTGGTATTATTGATTGCTTAACTTCAGATTTTTTGTGGAAAGAGTTTTGGTACATGAACTAATACCTTTGATGCTTTACTTTCTTTTAATTGCATAACCCTTTTCTAGACGGGTCATGAGTCAAAGGCCATGTCATCTCATTTGTTGAATCGCATTCAAAATTTTATTGAACTACTATATTAGGAATTTATGTCAATAAGTTGGTATCAAACTGTAGAGTATAATTCAAATTTTAGTATTATACATTATTCAATTTCTTAATTTAAAAGTAAATGTTAAAAAAAAGTTAAATATAAATTTTTGTGTGTCACGTGGTATGTTGAATGCAGCACTGGTTCAAATTAGATGTTTGTGATGTCAAAATACTAAGTCTGTAGTTTCGTATGAATTATGAACTCAAATTACCGATATTGACAAACTAGAATATAAAATAAGAACCTCTTTTATCTTTTGTATTTGCTAAGATATTGCTCATGTACTGAATCAAACACAGTGGCTCCCCTGCCCACCTCTTTCCATTTCTGGAAATGCATTCTCATATACACTTACTTCTGTATATGACATGAATAACTAATTGAAAGCTCGGAATGTCCCCCTAGTGAGATGGGTTTTAACTCTAAAAGACTCAGGTGCATCAATTCAATGCATTTATTGTTGTATGTTGGGTTTTATTTCATTTTGAAAAATATTTTTATATGTGATGTTTGTATCAATTTGCAGTTTTGAAATTTCAAAAATATTTTATTGAAATATGTGTTTAAGAAACAGTTTAAATGCTTTCTTTTTCTTGTAGATTTTAATCAATTTTTTGTTTTCTTACAATTTTTAAAACTTTCCTATAAAGCTTTTTATTTTATAAAACCATAAATTTATCTAATGTGATTTTGAAAAAATTGCACACAGTTTCAACATTTTTTTTATGATCACTGGAATACAATATAAATAACTTTTTCAACTTTCCAAAATTATAAGCAAACAAAAGTATTCTTTAAATTGTTAATCAGAAGGTTTCAATTAATGTATGTAATAAGTTTGCAGCTATTTTATATTCAAGTGTGTGTATATATATATATATATTTTTTTTTCTAAAATGTTTTTGGTAATTTCTGCTCATTCAAGCAGTTGCATAGGACAATAGGGCCTAATACAGTGGCTTTGTAGGTAAAATGAAACTTGATACAGTCAAGTTAAAAATGACTTAACTAAACCTAGCTCATCTTGTTATATGAAAACATTTCTTTTCCTTTCATACAGTTCCTACTACAACATTATAATTCAAATAATACAGCAAGCTTTTAGAAACAAAACCAGGACTTTAATTGTGGTCAAAGTTGTTCACAAACATCTTTTCTTCTGATAACATATCAGCAAGCATAGCTTTCATAACTTTGTTTTGATCTCTGAGCAAATCTCTACTGAACTGGAAACCAAATTGGTTTATACAGTTGAATAGAATGGAAAAATATCTTTCAATACTCTTTAGATTACTAGCCTGTGACTTCTTCAAGCTGCAATATAGGCAATTACATCACACATATAACACTCATGATTGAGAAAGAGTGATTGGCTAAAATCAATAAAACTACACTTGTATTTAAGTTACAAGGTTAAATTAGTGCTATTTTGTTCCAAACTATCATGACTTTCTTTCTTGAGGGCTACAAGTGCTGTATTATGTTCAGAAATAGTTCAGGACATTCACAAACACTAATGATTTTGTTTTGAACATGCTGAAAAGAACCCAAAATCAAAATGTGCTATTTAAAAAAATTATATGAAACTTTTTTATTGAGTTGCTTTCAACTCTGAAGGGGCCTGACATGGTCAGATGGTTAGGGCACTCAACTCGCAATCTGGGGGTCGCGGGTTTGAATCCCCGTACCACCAAACATGCTCACCCTTTCAACCGTGGGGCATTATAATGTAACAGTCAATCCCATTATTAATTGGTAAAAGAGTAGCTCAAGCATTGGTGGTGATCACTAGCTGCCTTCTCTCTAGTCTTTCACTGCTAAATTAATGATGGCTAGTGCAGATAGCTCATGTAGCTTTGCATGAAATTCAAAACAAACCAAACCAATCAACTTTCAAGGTTTTTTTAAATGTGTGGATGAACCACACATTAATTGTATATAATTGTTTAAAATCTATTGTGTAATTTTACCTTGGAGGCAGGATACACATATCTGGGCATGATAGAATTAAAAGAAGAATTGGTTGTATAGTCTACTAACAGAGGGAGAAAAAGAGAATTAAGTGTAAATAAATTTTAACTTATGGTCCAAATCATAATTTTTGAATTTTTTTGTGATATGTAAACTTAAGAATAGTTAAAAAAAAAATGCACTGGTAATTTTCACATGCAAACAAATGTACTGACTGAATTATTTTATTCAAGGTCGTCCAATGTCTATCCAGATTGTCACGTCACTTACACAAAGAGGAGCAGTTAGTAGCAGAATCGGAAGTGTGGTGAGAGGAAGAGGAGAAAGTGGCAGGTAAAACATACATGTGACTCCTAACATATTTATTATCTACATAAACTGTTAAGTATCATAGCTGTAACATGTAAATCTATAACAATGCCACAAGTTCCTTTGTTTTTCTCCCCAATTTTGGTTTTCTTTTAATGTAGTTAAAAGTAAACCTGATGATTATTGTTTAAGTCCATTTGTACTTATACAGTAGAAAGATAGTACTACTACTGTAATGTATTAGTGGCACAAGATTTCAGAATTCAATATTTTTATTAAAATGTTTCTGGTAATTTTTTCATGCTTTTAAGACATGTTAGAGATATTAGGATGAAACATAGTATGGAAAGAAAGTTTGCTGTAAATTAAATAGCTGGTATCTTGTACTTAATAAAGTATTTAAACAGTCTCAAATGGATACCATCACTATACATTACTTTGTATTTCTTGTAGCAGAAACAGAATAAAGCATTATAGTCATTAGGTGTAATTAAAAGGTAATGTAACTAATTGAATAAATTCCACTTACCTTCCTACGGAGCAAATTAAGTCAATTTTCTGTATTGCAATATCTTCTTCTATCTATATAAATAAAATAAGAGTTTTGTTTGCTGAAAATAGTGTACTTTTTGCATATCTTCACGTTTCATACACCAGAGAAGCCGAAACAAGCCTTATCTCAATTTCTGTCTGTCTGTCGGTAACGCTCGCGGACGTGTTTTTGTTCGCTTTTCACGGGAAAACGAGTGCACCGTTTTCTATGAAACTTTTTTTCTTTGTTTTATAGATGTGTAAGAAGGTTATAGGCTACTTGAAACTGTCATACACCTTTTTGAAAGAAAATGGTGGCCGCTCAAAAACCTGCTTTGGTGCGGTTTTGGACATGATTTTGTTTGCTTTTCACAGGGAAACGGGTGCACTGATTTTGATGAAACTTTTTTTCCTTTGTTCTATACATGCGTGAGAAGGTTATAGGCTACTTGGATTTTTGGAATTCACCTTAGGGCTCCGCCCCACGGGTCTTCAAAGTTCCAATGTTATTCTTATGGACATTTTTTTTGTTTTGTTTTA